ACTAATGTACATGTAGTACAAATTTCTCCAGTTAAGTATATATTCTCTTAAAAACACATTTCTGATGCAATATCAATTATGATATCTGTTTCTGCGAATATCTTCATAATTTGGTAATGTATATTCAACTGACGGTTTAGTTTATTCATATCTCAAAACATTAGCTCTTCGGGAGCCTTCACATACTCTTGTACTGCATTTTGACAATTAGGCACATTCTGATTCGGTGAATTATTGTAACCATATATCCATAGTGATAAGAATATTGTCATACTATTGTTATCACCAATATATTGTTTAGTTACTTCAAGTAACAAAACAAAATCACTTCCGGAGCTTTTACTTACTTGCATACTATATGATATATTACCAGTATTGGCTTTAGCCAATATTCATTCTATACAAAAGCAAACAAAATAATAATAACAACATATAAGTGTTTCATAACACATTTCAGCATACGAATATTCATTCTATACAAAAGCAAACAAAATAATAATAATAACAACATATAAGTGTTTCATAACACATTTCAGCATACGAAGTTACGGTATATGATCATGACTTTTGCTATATGAATTGTTGTGTCATCCTCATTTATAATCATTTTACTTTGCACTTCCGGTGAAAAGATACATTTGTCGATTGTCGTTATCCAAACACAATTATATTTATATAATGGTGTATCTCGCTGCATTCACTTTTAAGAATGGTCTGTTTCATTCGCTTTCGAGAATGAAACAACACCCTTTGGATCAAATTAGATAATATTTCTCATCACAAGTCCAATACACTTTTCACCTTTAACAAACAAGATATTAACTTATACTTTAAAAAATCTCTACCATAATATTACTACTGCAGGAGCACATATAGATTTTCATTTTTGTTCCAATGATTCTTGAACTAGTAAAAATTTTTTTCATACATCGGGTACAAGACCAATGATCTTTTTCACCACGACGGTAACTCATATTCCGACATTTTTGTTACCAGATTCACTTCTTTCATTTGACACATTTTTCCACTTCGGGGGAAAAAGATATCTTTAGACTTTCATTTCTCTATATGTCTGATTCGGGCCTAATTGTACATGTTTTACCCCGTTTTAGTTAGGTGTTTGTGCCAAATTCACTCCTAAAAGGTTGGTTTTACACTAGGTTCCTCGTGTGTTAGTGTGTTTCAGGATCTAACAGGTGAAACCAGCCTCGGAGTCGAAAGTTGCCCGAAAAGGATCGAAAACCGAGAGAAGAGGTGAAAAAGGGCCAGTTCACGGCTTTCCCAGGAAGTTCACAGTCATGCAAGACCGTGAAGAAGAGCCCTCAATCGTGAACCGTGCGGCATCCAGAGCCAAAACAGAGGTTACTGACGCATGGTGACTTCACGGTCTCTAAGACCGTGAACAAAGCCGGTTGACCATGAACAGAAGTGAGCGATGCGGCGCGTTTTGGCGCTCGCCTGAAGTTCACGGACGTGTTTCATGGTTCACGACCGTTAACTCAGGCTATGAACTTAGCTCGTCTCTGGTTTAAAAGATGAGCTGAAAGGAGGAAAGAGGGGAGAGCCCATTTTATGTGAGAAGCCTTCTTCATAATTCTAGAGAGAGAAACACAAACCAAAGGGAGAAGAAGGCTAGGGAGTAGACCTCCTTTCACTTGGGTGTTGTGAAACCCTAACTCTACCATGTAGTTTTCTTTTATGTGTATTGGATGATTGTCATTGGGTATTGTTCAATTCAATGATTGAGGCATTATTTATCATGATTGTGCATGCTTGTGCTTAGCAACCTAGGGGTTGTGCATGTTTTGCGCTTAGCATCCTTATGTTTGTGCATTTAGGTGCTTAGCAACCTAAGAATTGTGCACAATTGTGCTTAGCACCCTTAGGTTTGTGCATGTTGGTGCTAGCAATCTAATTAGCCACCTTAGCCTAGCTTATAGAGGAAAATCACCCTTCCAAGGGAGACTCAATCGAGTTGGTTTTCCTTCCACTTTCTTGGCCACCTAACTAGGTTAAGTTAGGGCAACCCTCAATGTTGACTTAAGCAAATCGGTTAACTGCGATTAAACCGTGCGAACTTTGAGTTGAGTGAGGGAGTAAGTCAATTACCGATTGTCTAAAATGGGAGGATCGAGTGACAAGGCCTTTCATGCTTACCTCGGTTTAGCAATTGAGATTGTGGTCTCCGACCATATATGCATCCCTCTGCGGTTCGCGATTACTGTGACCAAGACAATTGTTCCAATTCACATATCATGGTAGCGATTAGGGGAAAGCGACACCCGAGTGATCCTTCCACAGAAGATTTTCCAAAACCATTTACATTTTCCTTATTTTATTTCAATTAGCAAACCTTTAAACCAAAACATTGTTGCTAGATAATGATTTTAACAACCGAAGTAGGGGGTAGATGGACCGGCCCGGGTTGATATCTGAATACTTGCTCTATACTGCACCCGTCTAGAGTTTAAAAACTTGGACTCTAGTCGGGATTTATTATGGTGTAGTTTCGTGTGAGTCAATGTCCAATGTAGCAATCGATAAATCAACCCATAATGTAATTTTTCATGATTTTGCTACTACAAGAGAAATTTTCATTATTTGATAATGTCCAAGCATAAACTTTACGAGAGCAACATATATAAAATAAGTTCATAAAATAATATGAAGAAATAACATGATCAAATAATCTCTCAAAAACAATGAGATAGATAAACATACTAACAAGAAACGACATGAAAATTCACATACCTTGATTGTGCTTTGATCTTACTCCAATATATTTGATTATGTAGAGAGACAAAGACTAACCATGAATTTGGCAGAGTTTCATGCTGGTAACGTGTTATGAAAAATATAGAAATGGAGAAGAAAACAAGATCAAAAGTAAAGAGGAAAACCACAAGAGAAAAGGTGTACAATGGGGTACTCTATTTATAGGCACATATACATAACCTTTACAATCACCTCTATCAATGCACATGAATATGATATAATAACCATGAAGAAGATTCATTTTCATGATCAATGTATGGAGGGAAATACCTTCTTATGTAACATCCTATATGGAATCCAAAGTAGCATCCAATGTAGAACTCAATAGACATCCACAATACTACATAGTTTCATAATAATAATTCCCCCCTTATCCCTTATAATAGAATAATTAAATATCACATATATTAAGTTTCTCGGGACATCAAGGTTCCATGGTTTCAAGGCGTATGTGCATGATGCAGTCTAGGGTGTACTTTAATATGCAAAACAGGGTCCTCTTTACTAACATAATTAGGTGACGGCCCTTCAAGAACAATCTGGCTTGAATCGGAACTATATAGTCTGAGGTAGCATGTTATAAGCTATTGTAGATTAAGTTTCTTGTACCTAGTTGTAGTGTGGTCAGGGGCATGGCCAGGAATATTGATAAGGTAGGAGGAGCTATTGTAGAGTAAGTATAATGCATCTCATAAAATACTGCAAAATACACTTGTATAGCTTCAACTTTGGATTTTTTCCAATAATAGTCACTTTTTGAGAAATACATATATCTTATAATTGAGACCATGGGAGGAGCTAATCGTGGTAGCCAGAGACGACGTGTGGCCGCGAACCTTCTTTTGGGTCTAGATTAGGAACGATGATTGAGAAGAGAAGAAGAAGGTTGATTGGATTTTTTTGTTGTAAAAACCTAATTAAATATTTTTAAGGGAAATATTACGTGTGACATGAGGTTTAGTCGTCGGTGATGTATGTGTTGATTGGTATCCTGGTCAGTGTAGTATTAAAATGGCTAATGCTATCTCTCTGGCCCTTTAAAGTTTGTAACGGAAATTACCTGATTTGTCATACCTCCATCCAAAATTCTTGCTATTTTTCCTTTTTTCGAACTTGACTATTATTGTCTCGAAGATAGAAACCTGCATTTTCACTATTTGGATATTTTTTTGATTGAATTGTCGAATTATGTTTGTTATGACTATTTCGGCATTATTGAGGGTTAATTGGGGGATTGAATAAATTGGGTAGCATTAAAGAACTATCCATTTTATATAAATATTCTTGTAAGTGTGATCAAGCCACTAAGCATCAGTAAACCTAATTGAGACTCCCTAATTCCCTTTTCTTCTCTCTCTACCTACCTACCGAACCCTTTCACTCTTCCTACTGCTGTCGCGAAGCTTCTTCTTCTCCCCCTCACCATTTCCCAAACTTCTATCCTACTTCCCCTTCTCAATCAAAAGGAGGTGGTTACATAAGTGATATAACCCCTTTTCCCATCTCATCTTCAAAGGCGGATAGAACCTGAGATTTGGGTTTCTATCATCTGGTATTAAAGCATGTTGACCTGGAAGACAATGGCGGTAATCAAATTACAGACGGCTGCTGAGAAAGCGGCCGAGAAGGCCGCAATGGAGAAGTCGTACGCCGACATAATGGCGCAGAAGCCGGAAGCCACTGCCAAGAAGGTCGTCGGCCAGGGAACCACCAAGGAGGGCGCAGCGAAGGCTTCGACGCAGAAAGGGGAGGAATCTCTGGACCACGTCACTGTCGCTGACGTGACCGACAAGGAAAAACTCAAGGCGACAGTGCATAAACTCGTGGCGGTGCTACTGACGATCGACTAGGACATGGAGGACTTGCGGAAGGCTATGGACGTGTTTACGCGGACCGTGATCGAGATGCAAGAAGGGCAGAGGTAGGTAGGGGTGGCAGTTCGGTTACCGGTTATCGGTTAACCGTTTGGTTAAACCGATAACCGGCCGGTTATTCACTAACCGATAACCGAAGTAACTTATGTTCGGTTGGTTATCGGAGGCTGAGCAAAATGGTTTTGGTCTTAAAAGTGGTTTGGTTAACCGATAACCGAGATAACCGAGAAACCAAAGCCTATTTCAGGCGGTTTTCGGTAGGGGAATTGCTTATTTTGGTTAACCGATAACCGGCCGATTGGTTATCGGTTATTACCGAAATAACCAAACTGCCATTCCTAGAGGTAGGTGATGGCCTTCCTGGGACTCGATGGCGACCTTGAAGGGGTCGGGGCGTCGAATCCAAATCCACTGCCACTCGCCGTGAAGGGCAATGCCACTGCAGGAGGAAGGAGTGCCGCAGCGGGGATGACGGAGGGCGCGAGGGCACGGACGTCTGAGGCCAGAGCGACGACAATAGCTTTGAGCACCGGTGGCGCGGGGTGTGTGGATTTGGAGCGTGGCGGATCACGGAGCAAGGTCGGGTTGCTACCCACGCCGATCGTGGTGGAGATTGTGGCTCTCCGCGTTAAGGCCAAGGCCCTAGGGTACGACAACATGCTTCAAAACCCGGGCGTCGAGTCGCTAGGTTTGCAAGCCTATGAAGGTGAATCTGGACCCGCGGGGATCGACATGGACAAGGTTGATTGAACAGGGATCCGCGTCCACAAGGGGACTAGCTGTGTTTGATGAATTAGCCGGGTAGCGGGGTGGGAGGTGATCCGAACCGGGGCATGGCAGGGCGGGTCCTTGAGACTGACGGGACTTGGATGGAGCGAGGGAGACCAGGTGGGGATTGACTCAAACCGAGTAAGGCAGCCGTAGACGAGCGCGGATAGCAGGGCCCTCATGAACTAGTGCGGCACGCAAGATGGATCTGGCGGACCTTACCATCCTTACTCGGTGCCGCCAGGTACCAGACATCAGCTAAACAAGGGTTTGCCAACAGGGAAAGGGAAACCAGGAGAGTTGGATCGGTACGAGCAGTACAGGGAGGAGGACGGGTAGAGGTGGAGCTGGGAGTGAGACTCTCGGGGCCCTTGGGACTACCGTAGAAGGAGCCCTGGAATCGGAAGGTTTGGTGGGTACCATTATGACGATGATAATGATCTTGTGTTCATAGCTAAACCTCCAACCATTGAGTTTTCTAGATTCAATGGTCAAGAGGATGCAGGCTTGTGGTTGTATTCCATGGACAGGTGGTTAAGAAATCATCCCACAAAAGAGGAGAGGAAGGCGCACCTGACATCCTTCTATCCGGAGGGAGATGCTCTACATTGGTGGAGTGGTTAGAGAGGTCCTACGCTACCAACGGAACGCTGATTACTTGGCCGAGCTTTCAGGAGGAGCTGAGGTACCAGTTCGGGAAATCAGCTGGAGTACAGAACGGAGTTTCTCAAGTTGGGCAACCAATGCAAGGGAGTTCCCGAGGAGACGCTGGTGGGGCTATGTCTGGCCGGCTTGAAACCAAAGATCGCTGCTGCAATCTGACAACTTCTTTCCGTCTTACAGGTTACGAGGAGGAGGAGCTCACAAGTTGGAGAGGTACCATAGGCCTCTATGAGAAGCCGAGCGGAGGAGGAAGTAGCAGCAGTGGGGTCGGGGTGGAGGAGGCTCATCGGCAGCAGGGAGGTGGAGCAGTGGTGGCAAGCAATGGGGCAGCGAGACCAGGGCCTAGAGCACTTCCCAAGGGCTTTGTCAGACTGTCACCGACCGAGATAGAGCAGAAGAGGAGGGAGGGCAAGTGTTTCAACTGAAATAGGCCGGATCTGATGATGCTCGTGGGTCGCTAGGAAGATGAGGCAGAGGATGACGCGACGGACGCCGGGAATGCCAAGGACGAGAACATGTGAGCTAGATACCTTGGGCACAAGGTTGTTTCCAAGGATAAAGGGATAATAGAAACCTGCATTTTCACTATTTGGATATTTTTTTGATTGAATTGTCGGATTTTGTTTCTTATGACTATTTCGAGATTATTGAGGGTTAATTGGAGGATTGAATAAGTTGGGGTAGAATTAGAGAACTATCCATTTTTTAAAATATTATTGTAAGTGGGATTAAGCCACTAAGCATGATTAAATCTAATTGAGACTCCCTAATTCCCTTTTCCTCTCCCTCTACGGCCGAACCCTTTCTCTCTCCCTACTGCTGCTGCGCAGCTCCCTCACCATTTCCCTCTTTTTCTTCTTCTTCTTCTTCCCTCTTCTTCCCCTTTTCCCTTCTCATCTTCAGAGGCGTATAGAACCCGAGATTTGGGTTTCTATCACTCGAAGTAGAAAGTTGTGGTTATGTAAGTGTATTAAAAAAAAAGCTATATTAATTTTTTTTATAATGATGCACATTCATCGAAGTCATTGATGATGCAAACACATATTATACCACATTGTCTGTCAAAACTTTGACTATTTATTATTAATGGTCAAAGTTAGCGGGAACTAAACATGGAGACATAACTGACGCGGGACAAACATATGAGTACAAATTAAATAAAGTTTAAACTAGAGGCATTTTTGTATGAGGCCTAAATAAGCAAAATGTTTAGTTAAACTCAAAAGCTTGCTTGTATTCTAATAGTGAAAGTGTACTCTGTTGCAAGGCAGGTCAACAACGCGTAGTTTGACCCCTCTCCCTTCATAGTTATTACTTTTATTTTTTATTTGGACTTGTCAATCTAAGGGAGTGCAGCCGACCTCTCTTGGTTGGTTGTGGATCCGTCACTAAGTGTGGTAGTAGATTGTGGTCCTAAAATACACTATCAAGGGACATCGATTAGTTGGGGCAAAACTATTGTTGGCCCTTGTACACTTTGCCTTCCATCTCGGAAAACAAAAATCTATTATTTTTTCTCATTTTCTTATATAAAGACGGTGTAGGAAGGCAAGTTAAGAGTGCAGGGGAGTGGCAAGCTAGTATTGATGTTGCTATTGAAGGTGCTACAAACTATTCAACATACGTGCAAATGGGCAGTTTGCTCTAGTTAACCACACCTAAAATAGGTGTTTTCGTTCCTCTTATATAACTAGGTGTTATCATTATATTTGAGCATAATTTAGTCATAAATTCTTGATTTATAGTGTAGGATTGCATCATATTCACTTTGGATAAGTTTTAGATGACAAATGCAGGTTTTAGGTGAAATTAAGGTAAATTGGGTAACAATTTACCGGATGTGACTGATGAAGCAGAGTTCACTAATGAGTATGATGGAGGCATATGATTAGTCCACGCCCAAATGTTGATTGTCCCAAAATGTGTTATCCACTCTTTGAGCCTTGTGACTTCGAGGGTCGTTCTTAAGTTAGGAGCTCCGTGATAGAACAACTAGGCCTGGCAATCAGGTCGGGTTGGGTAATTACGGGTTGGGAACTTCGGTTACAGGTCGCTTCATAATTGGTTGGCTTATTTTGGGTCAAATATTGACCCAACCCATTTGGTTTCGGGTCGGGTTATGAGCGTTCTCAGAAACAATATCAAACATGCTTCATATTTTCTTAAAGAACACAAATTTTCACATATGCATTACAATAGTTTACGTAACACATGTCAATTAACATATTCTCAAATCCTCTCACGCTAATGAAATGAAATATAAATTGCGCAAATCGTCAAAAAACAATCACAAGAGTAATACTACTACAAGAAACACATGATATTTGATTATCCTTAAACTCCAAACATGTCATTCAAATATTTAAGATTTTTTTAAAACATCTCACCAATTTATGAGTGATTTTATCATATTTTGGGAGTAATATATTAAATGGAACGGGTCTAACGGGTCGACCCGCTAACCCACCCAACACGACCCAAAAAATAATGGGTTATCGGGTTCGGGTCATTTGGATTTCGGGTTACAAAATTTTCTAGTTTTCGGGCGGTTTCCGGTCGGGTCAATGGGTCGGGTTGTAATTTGCCAGGCCTAAGAACAACCCACAATCCTTTCTTCGTGTCTAAACATGAGTCGTCCTTGTGTCCCGGAGCCCTCGCCTTTGAGTTTTTATAGAGGTTCTACATAGGATGTTTGTGTGCGGTTCTTGCTAGGAATGAGAAAAATGAAGTGTAGTGTTGGAGTGAGTTCCTGTAACACCCTAACCCGGTTGGGTACTAATTTTACCAAAATACCTTTTATAAACCATGAAACAAATACTAACTAAAAATACTTGAGAAAATAGCAAAAACCTTTCATAAATAACTTTAACAAGTACTGAGAATAAACTGTAATTTCTTAAAACAAAGCCCTAACACTTGGGCAAACTCAATCCTTAAAATCTCAAAAGGATCTTCATTCTATACTCATAATCATAAGATGTAACAACTCATTAATCTATAACGTTGTCGCTTACTGAAAACCTTGACTAGGCATCCCTCTACTCTCATACCGTCCTCCTCTAGCTGGCTTCCATGGAGTTGCTTCTCCCGACCTCGCTGCTCTCTAACTACTCCTCTAGCTCTTCCTCTTCAAACTGGTGAGTGAGTTGGGGTCAGTCTAAGCCCTTACGTTTTAACAGTCTAGTACTTTAGTATTTTACTTCAGACACTTAACTTAAACTGGTGGGAGTTGTTTGTACTTCCACTCTTATAAAAATCTTAACTCTTAAAACTATATGGGAGTTACTGTTACTCTCCTTTCTCTAATCTCAAATCTCAACTTAAATACTTGACCGACACGGGGATCCCTCACTAGCTAGTCCGGTCGGCCAACTCATACGTATAAGAAGCCCGCCGGGCTTTCCTTAAACTTAAACTTATCGTGGAAGGCTCTTCATCCACGATTGTCAAGAGCATAACTGCTGCTCATCTTAAAAAAAAACTCAAGAGCATAACTGCTGCTCAACTTAAATATCTCAAGAGCATAACTGCTGCTCTATATGAAAATCTCAAATGGCAACGGACTGACGCTAGTGACTAAAAACACTTAAAACGACTTCACCTTCTTGAAGGTGAGTTACTTCTTAAAAATAACATGTTTCTTAAACTTTGACAATAACTTATACTCGTAAAATTTCAAAGTAAATAATAAACATTCACTTCAAGTCATAATTCAAACAAGGCACATATCATCATCATAAGCATAATCAAACAACGATAGTCACTTCATCAAAATACTTAAAGCTCATAATACTTAAAAGAACACGTAAGGCGTAGAATTTACCCCTTTACACTCACATTATTACAATCACTCTGGATTACTCAGGGTTCCTCGTTTAGCTATCCATGCAATTTCTATCTCCTTTGCATCATTCCAAAAGCTGCATGTGATTTCCATTACAATAAAATCAGTTCCTTACGTACTATAATTCTCTCATTCTTAATCCTCAATTAACCCTTCCCTCGAATCAATTCCCAAAAGCCACGTGAATACCATCCTTTGGAATGGGCAATTTATTCAGATTGATAAAACCCATTTAACGTAAAAAGCAGCTAGCCAATCATGAACAGGCTTACCTTGCTAAAGGCCGCCATAATCTCCTCTTTCTCCCGTATCCAATTACTCGTCCCATCAAACCGTTAGCAACCAATTATGTCCAACGCTTTTGTCGGTTGAGGAGATTAGGTGGTCTGAATCCACACTAAGCTGCGGTAATGGTTGGAAGTGATGGAAACCATGCAGATGGTGGGTGGAACTCTGGGGGTTCTCGAGGGAAAGAGGAGGGTCGACGGAGGGCTGGCGTTGCTGCTACCTTTGGTCGCGCGGCTGTTTGCGAGAGTGTTGGAAAGTGTTTGGGGATGGTGGCGATGACCGGCTGTTGCGACTTCGTCGATTCATCTGTTCATCTCAAATCAATGCTTTCGTGTATCCCCTCGGATAAACTCTCTCTCGCGATCGCATCCGGTTGCGAATGCGGCTGCTTATTCTTGCTGTGGCAGGGTGATGATGGGGAGGGGATTTTGTGAGCACTCAAATAGAAGGGCGGAAACTCTGCTTTTGGTTTTCTCTATGGGAATAGAGTGACTTTCTGAGTTGTTCTGTTTAGGGTTGCTTTTTACGTTTCTCTTATGGGGAGCTGGGAGTAACCGAAGCAATCACTAAAAGTGTCGGTTGAAATAAAAATAAATGGTCTCAATTACTCGGGTCTTGATTATAGGACAAGGCTTGGTTCGATTCAAGTTTTAGTTCGTCGATTCAATCCATACATTTATTATGGGTTGAATCCAAACTTAAAATCGGGGTGTTACAGTTTCTCAAAAAGAGAGCATTGGTCGTTAAATGTATAGGTGGTAAGTGTTTTTACTCTCTAGTACCCCCCCCCCCCTCAAAAAGAAAAGAAAAGGAAAGGAAAGAAAAGAAAAGAAAAGAAAAGAGATACAAAAAAAAAGGTAATAAAATGGGTAAATAAAGTAGAGAGTGCCACGGAAAACCAAAGTACATGCTCTAGGAGGGGTTTCTTGGCACCCAAGCCATTGAAACCCCCCACATTATTTTAGAATCCCTTCACTACCAAACCTTAATGTGCTAGCAAGAGTTGACCGAGGAAGAGTGATTTGATGTAGTTCACGATGGGTGATAGTTTGGAAGGGAGAGACAAGGTTTTTGGCCGATGCTAGTGGCCTTGGGTTGAAGAGAAGGGTGTTAGTCGAAACCATAGAACCTTTGGGGTTTTGGTTGAAGATATAGAACCTCACGTCATGATTGACACCACCCAAAAAACCTTTTTCCCATGTCCAAGACAATTGCCAGTCATCTGAACCCGTGTCTAAGACCTCCGGACAAGCTAGTGGTGACAACCATCCCGTGAACTCTAGCATTTAGAGGTTACCGCCGTGGTATTGAGACGATAGGGCGGAGTTTTATGATTGGGCCCATATTTTGCATCAAAAAGGTCCCGACCCCACTGGTCTTGAGACTTGAGAGTGAGTGATTCATTTTTGCTTTACATGTCATATCATACCCCGGTGAGGACCTTTGTTGCCTTTCCATTTGTTCCTCGGACTTGAATTTCATACATGGTTGGTTTTGGTTGATAAGTTCTCTTGTTGAGACTTGCATTGATCCATGAACAAGGTGAGAACTTTTCGCTTGCTCGTTTTGGGTGGCTTCGAATGCCGTTTGTGCTCGGACTTGAATTTCATACATGGTTGGTTTTGGTTGATAAGTTCTCTTGTTGAGACTTGCATTGATCCATGAACAAGGTGAGAACTTTTCGCTTGCTCGTTTTGGGTGGCTTCGAATGCCATTTGTGGTGGATTTCGGTATTGCTTGCAACAGTCCATGTATTGAGTGCCAATAACCATTGATAATTCCCACTTTGTGCCCTTTGAGTTGTCCCGAAACTATTTGTATAGGTTGAAATATTACATTGTGTGAAATGGTTTGCTTGGGGACAAGCAAATGTCTAAGTGTGGGGAAGTGATTCGGGCCTAATTCTACATATTTTGCCCCCGTTTACCTTAGTCGTTTGTGGCAACTCCGCTCCTAAAAGGTTGGTTTTACGCTAAGTTTCTCGTGTTTTAGTGTGTTTCATGATTTAACAGGCGAAACCAGCCTTGGAGTCGAAAGTTGGACGAAAAGGATCGAAAACCGGGAGAAGAGGTGAAAAACGGCGAGTTCACGGTTTTCCTTGGCCGTTCACAGTCTTGTATGACCGTGAAAAAGAGCCATTGACCGTGAAATTTGAGGCGTCCAGAGCCAAAATGCAAGTTACTGACGCCAATTGTGTTCACGGTCTCTAAGACCGTGAACAGGAGCTGTGGACCGTGAACACAAGCCAGCGAAGCGGTGCGTTTCGGAGGCCAATTGGAGTTCACGGACGCGTTTCATTGTTCACGGCCGTGAACTGGAGCCGTGAACATAGCTCGTTCCCTGTTTAAAAGTTGAGCTGAAAGGAAGAGAGAAGGAGAGCCCACTTGAGTTAGAAAGCCTTCTTCTGATTTCTAGAGAGAGAAACACGAACCAAAGAAGAAGGAGGCTAGGTTTTTGCTCCATGGTGGATGTTGAGAAGATTTTCTCCAAGGAAAGTTCAACACAAGGACCAAGAATATTGGAAGCCTCCTCCAAGATGGTTTCTACCCCTTCTCCTTCTGTTTCTCCCATTTCTAGCATGGAGTAGAATTCTTTTCACTTGGGTGTGGTGAACCCTAACTCTACCATGTAGTTTTCTTTTATGTGAATTGAATGATTGTCATTGGATATTTTCTAATTCAAATGTTTGAGGTATTATTCATCTTGATTGTGCATGTTTGTGCTTAGCATCCTTAGGTTTGTGCATGATTGGTGCTTAGCAACCTAAGGATTGTGCATGTCTATGCGTAGCAATCTAATTAGCCACTTAACCTAGTGTAGAGAGGGAAACCCCCCCCCCCCCCCCTTTCCAAGAGAGTCTCAATTGAATTGGTATCCTTAGACCTTTTTAAGTCTTCTAACTCGGTTAATTTAGGGCAAATCTCAATATTGGATTAAGAAATTTGGTTAAGCGCGTTTAAGCCGTCCAACCCATGGTTTGAGTGAGGGAGTAAGTCAACCATTGATTGCCTAAACCGAGAGGGCCTAGTGACAGCCTATAATGCATGCCTCGGTTTAGCAATCATGAGCAAATATGGTCTTCCCCTAGAGGTTAGCGATCACCTTGCCCATAGCAATCATTTCGGTTCACATACCATGGTAGTAGTTAGGGGGAAGTGACACCCGAGTGATCCTTCCACAAAAGAGCTTTCAAAACCATTCACATTTGTATTGTTTTACTTTAATTAGCAAACTTTTCAGCCAAAACTTTATTGCTAGATAATGATTCAAATGACTGAAGTAGGGGTAGACGGACCGGTCTGGGTTGATATTCAAACATAATTACTACACCCGACTAAGGTTTATACTTGGAACTTAGGCGGGAAATTATTGTGGTATTTGGGACGATTCAACAAGGAATTCTCAAATAGAAGGGCCCTGACCTCTTATGTTGGAAGGTTTCCCTTTGGTCTCCACCTCTATGAGCCGCCTTTCCTCTCGATAAATGTATTTGATGTAAAAGCAAACTAAATGAAGGTTGACATCGCTAACATTGAGACATTTTATTGGGATCTTGCAGCGCTCGGATGCCAACTCTTGAAGGCTCTTGGTCTTCGGTCCAGTGGTGGAGTAAGGTGGGATCTCTCAATGACCTCCACTTGCTTCATACTCGCCTCAAATCGCTCAAGGGTCATCTCAAATTCGGTCTTCACCCTAGATTGTTGAGGTAGTTCTAGATATGGTGGTGGTAGAGCTTGGTGACCATGGGGATACAAATGATGAGCATAGAGAGGTGGTTGTTGAAACCAAGATCCTTGGCTTTCATTCCTTCTCGAAGTCATGGGGTAACACCATTCGGTGGATGGTAGATACCCTTGAGTCCAATTTTGTACCCCCATGGTAGGTACTTGAGTCCAATTTTGTACCTTCCTCCTTTCTCCTCTCTCCTGAGGGCATTCCATCCAAGATTCTTGATTAGGTAGTTCATCGTAGTGGATGGTCAAGGCATCCCTAGTAGCTTGTGATCCACCTCCAATAATCCGCATCAAGTGTGGGGGATATAAAGGATTTGAATTGCATGATTTTATCATATGCTTACTATTTTTATTTGGGGACAAACAAACGACTGAGTGTGAGGGGATTTGACCACCTAAAATAGGTATTTTCATTATGCTAATGTTAGTTGTTATCATGATCAATTGAGTGTAGTTGTGACTTACAATATTGCGGTATAGTCTAAGATCGCTTTTATACTTATTGTGGACAGGTTTTGGATGATGACTGTGAGTGTTTAGCTGACGAAATCGAGGCAAATTGGCAACAGTTGTAGGGTTCACAAAAGAAGGGGAAGTTCATGATCAAGATCCGAGCCGTGACCCGAGTTTACAAGTCAATGCAGAATATCACGCTCGTGATCTCCGTGCTAAGGATGTGAACTCATTTTTGTGGACAAGCCAATGATAATATAAGATATCATGGTCGGAGTCACGGGGAATTACGTAGCAGACCGTGATTCAAAAATCACGGCAGTCACGAAGAGGTCATGATCGGAAACAGTCACCCAGAGGCATAACGATGGAATTTCGAAAGTTCACCGACTCGGTTGGAAGTACACGGCAGTGAACTCATTCATCCCCCAAACCTAAACATAGCAATGTCGATCTTATAGAGGAGAAGAGCTCATTTTCCAATTTTCAGCACACTTAGAGTGAGAAGAAGCAATGGTTTCCACTTGATGAATAAAGGGAAGTCTGGAGAAGAAGAGGTCACTAACTGGGAAAGCTTTGGAGCTGATTTCTGAAATTGAAGCCCTTAATAAGATGATCGTATCCTCCTCCTTTTGTGTTACTTCTCCCTTTTATGAGGGAGTTTCTTAGGTACTTGGGGGCAAGAATACTTAAACTAATGTAGGAATTAGTGATATGTAATGAATGTATTTGTTCGTTTCCTAGTAAATTGTGTCTATTTGCTTGCTTTGATTATTATCTCATGCCTTGATTGTGTATGGATTATGTGGTTCCTGCCCCATGAAAGTGGTCATCTAATTGGTTTAAGTTTAAACCTAAAACCAATTTAAATATATTTACCTATCATTCTAAAAAAAAATTATTTACATATTTATGTGATTGTTAGCTTGTCCCTGATTCGAGAGCTTAAACCATAACTATGGTGGACAAGTGAGTACATGACTATTGACCCGATTGCCTCAGTTCTTATTCTTGCGCAATAGACAACAGGAAGGATGTAAATGGATTTCATGATTGTTACCTTCCCTCAAGTTAAGTTAGGGGGAAAGCAACCGCAGGTACTCTATTTCTCTGTATTGTTAGTTAAATTGAAATCGTAGGTCGTGTAGTTTAAACATGAGCAATTGATTTTTTTTTTTTTTATTCAAGATAAGCCCCCAGGGCAAGGCCGGACAACATATAAAACGACAAACAAAAATAAAGAACGGTAGTCCGTATGCAACCAGACTCCCGATAAAAAAACCTTTTATGCCACGAGGTGGGCAGCTCTATGAAAGGCCCGAGGAGCGAAATGACCGAAACTGACTCAGATAGAGAGAGAAGGATAGAATTTCCTTACTATTACCCTTTCATGAGAGTAATAAACCATATGGATTGCGTACAAACGCCAAAGCAATGGAAAGAACTCCTGCAAAACAAAGCAAACACACCGCCCATACAGGAAAATACAAAACTCTGTCACACGAGTTATATGTGAGTATTTAAGGAAAATTCTGAATTTACGAATACACCAACAATAACAATTGTATAAATAAACTATGAAAAATGGAAATTGCAATAAATGGAAGATGAGTCTCCATTAGAGAAGACAACCAATAAAAGTAATACGAAAGTAATTAAAATAAATAAGAATGGGGAAACTTTATCTGAACCTAAATCAATAGTGGTGAAATGAGAAAATAAAATAAGAACGATAATGGAGGGAAATAAAATAAAAGCTATAAACGTAAAAGGAAAAAGGAGAGGAAAGAGAAATTAATTGAACGAGGACACGTACCTAAAAAATTACCTAATACTACTGCTAATAGGCCCAAATAAAAAAAATAAGGAAATTAAAACCCTACCAAGAAGGAAACAACCAGTCTAATAAATTAGGGAGAAAAATTAGCAACGGATGTGCCAAGATTAATGCCTACAGATTTAATTTGAAATTGAATCTTGAAGAAATAGTAACAAAATCCCGGTAATTAGATCTTCATAATCAGCCGGGTTAAAGATTGAAGTTAATACAGACAAGCATCACCGCGAGCTCGTCGGGGAGGAGAACGAAATATACTGATATTTACCGATCACCCGAGAGAGATGGGAGAAAAGGAAATGGAGTTAATACATAGTGGATCATTAGAAAATCTTAAATGAGCTAGTCAATATTCAAAATTGAAAAATGAATTTTGAACAAATTCCAGAATTAACGTTACTATTCGGTCAAAGATAGTCTTTAATAGCACGTTTAAGGTTCTTTCCAAAAATAAAAGATAGTTAATACTCTGAAAATGACCGGAAAATGATCCGTTCACCAGAAAATTACGCAGGAATATTCCGGCAGGCAAAGAAGTCATCGAATGCAGGGGCGCCAGAGTATACCTTTTAACTTTTTAGGAAAAGACGAGGGCCAACTTCAATTTGGAAAGTGAATAAGATCGATAGAGTACATCTCCGAATATCAATCAGCCTAGAGGGATTGATCCAACATGAATATCAAACACAGATGGTTTGGATAGTAGAATTACGTCGTCACTAGGACGAGATGATTATAAGATGATGAGAACCGACCACCATGAATATCAAACACAGATGGCTTGGATAGGAGAATTATGTTGTCATTACCCTCGTAGTGTTTACCGGAAGGGATATGTTGAATGTGGTTTTTTTTTCGCCAGCAAGCGTTGATGCCGGCGGCTTGGAATTGGCGTCGGAGGAACAAAGAATCTCCACCGTGATTACGGCCGAAACGAACATCTCTCCAGAAAGCAAGACAGGCAGAGCCATTGAGGAAACGCCGAAACGAGCGAAAGGGGTTTTGCAAACGGGGATCGCCTGGATGAGAAGAGATTGATATCCCCATCGACCTTGACCGCCAAGTAATGCGGCTTTGGCTCGACTCCTCCACCCTCACCGCTAAATTCTTGGTCTTGAACTCACATGGCACCCTTTTGTATTCGACGTCGGCGATCCCGCGCTTGAGAACTTCGGAGGCTTTGCCTTCGCTGGCCATGGCCATGAAAGCTCTGCTGCTGAGGACGAAATCGGTGCTGTTGCTGGTGTTGAGATCAGTCACCATGACTGTTGGTGTTGGGAGGTAGTTTGGACTTCCAACGTGAGCAATTGATTGACTAGATAACACTTTTATCTGAGATTGAATTAGCTTATTTTGGCCCAACTATGACCATATAATCAACTTTTGCTCGTGGTTTCAGAAATTAACATTCTGGCCTCAACTATACAGCATATAGACTCAATTGGCCTGACACATGGTTTGACCGTCAATTTGGATGCTCAACACCGTTGACCGTTAGTCAACACGCCATGTCATTGCCTCGTCAGCCTAAAAGTTATTAAAAAAATCAAATTCAAATTATTTTCCTAATTTCTATTATTTATCATTTTCAAATTAACCAAAAAATAAAATTTAGAAAATATAAAATAAAATTTTTATTTTGTTTTTTGGGATATTTGAAAATGATAAATTTTATAAATTAACCAAAAATTATCAAAGTAATTTTTTAAATTTAGAAAATATGATATAAATTATATATTTCATTTTTGGGTAATGTTAAATATATAAAATAATTTATTTTATATTTTTTAAATTTTATTTTTTGGTTAATTTGAAAATGATAAATAATAGAAATTAGGAAAAATAAATTGAATTTGATTTTTTTAATAATTTTTAGGCTGACGAGGCACTGACATGGCGTGTTGACTAACGGTCAACGATGTTGACCATCCAAATTGACGGTCAAACCATGTGTCAGGCCAATTGAGTCTATATGATGTATAGTTGAGGCCAGGATGTTAATTTCTGAAACCACAGGCCAAAGTTGATTATATAATCATAGTTCGGACCAAAATAATGTATTAACCCTAAATTGAAATTGCAGGTTGTGTAGTTTAAATATCAACAATTGATTGACTAGATAACACTTTTATCTGAGAGAATTGACAGTTTCCACAAATCCCAAGGGTTACAACCTTGGGTAGTCATCACTATACTACTTCACCAATTTAAAGTATACTTGACCTAAATTGGAGCAGCTAGTAGGTACATACCAAGCGTTATTACTTGGTGAGTTTGTCAAAATAAAACAAACAACCCAGGAAAAAATCAGAAAATGGGTCAGTGGTTTTGATTCTATCTAAGCCAGTAGAGTTGCACGCGAAAACTTGTGGTTTTGCTGAGGCGCTTGAAAAACTAGAGAAGTGGCATTGGGAGCCGAGAAACAAAGTAAAGAAAGATGGGAAATATTGGTCTCCTGCCAATATTTCATGTTGATGACAAGTGAAAGGCATATTATTTTCATCCTTTCATATTATAGATCGGTGACTGATCACTTCAATCCGTGCAGGTTTTCGTTAGAGGTTTGCATGTATCCACAAATATCCTATCCTATGCCAAGTTTAATCTAGAATGGTGTTGTCTTATAGTGGTAATCAAGGCCGTATTCTACCCAAGTCCTGGTATCCAAGCCTACTTCCCACCTAGTTGCCAATTAGTTAATCGGTTTTTTGAGGTTTTGAGTGGAGAATATGAGGAAACTCTAGTCTAAGGATTGATTAAAGATAAAAGTAGGTCACCTCAATCTAGGCTATCGTGTCTAGGGCATTATGTATATGGCTCATTTCAATGGACACTATCCACCATCCACACTGTGGTTTTATCCCGGGTTTCACCTAGGAAAGCCACCTAGAACAGGAGTACGGTCGCCTCGACCACTATAGGCCCTCATTCACACATCTAACCTAAACTCGCCAGATGGCGCATACTCGTCTAACCATAGAACTGCGTACCCAGCGCGGTAGCATAAGCAGGCTAATAGGTAAATTGGGGCCAGTTACCCAAGCGTCATCATTTAGAAAAGAGTAGCATTAAAATCAACTAGGAAAACACATTCATTCATTCAAACCCTAAAACATCTATATATACAAAATAAAACCTAAAACTAGGGTTTGGGGTTTAGAACCCCTAGTACCCTTAAAGGACCACTCCATAAAGGAGGGAAAAAGATACATGGTAGAAATAGAAAAAGAGTTGAAGTTGGGGAAAATCTGCCTTGCTCCTAGCTTCTCCTTCTTCTCCTTCTCTTCTCCTTCCTTCAGCTTCTCTCTCTTCTCTCTCTCTAGAACCAAAAAATTTCTCTCAAAATTATCTCAACTAAAAAGGGAGAAAGGGGTCTTCTATTTATAGAGTTCAACATACACACGCAAGTTCGCGGGCTGAAGGCTGAAGATTGCGCACATGAACTTAAGGCTGCGATCTTAAAGGAAAGTTTGTGGGCTGGAGGCAAAAGATCGCGCCCGGAATCTTTGTGAGAGAGGGTGCGATCTTTGAAAGTCAACGTTTTTGCCTTGCAAAATGTGAAGATCGCGGCCTAACATCCCAGTCGCGATCCGGGGTGCCATTGTCACGATCTTTATCGCAGGCACGGAAGAGGATGACCCTGATTTGAGTGGGGAAACTTTCTGTTTCTCCCAATCCGACCTCTTCTGTATTTCACACCCATGGCTCCAAAGTTCGTGGCTGTGAACTTTAGGTTGCGATCTTCAAGTCAAGTTCACGGGCTGGAAGCAGAAGATCACGGTCGGGATCTTTGCTCTGCAGGCTGCGATCTTGTGGTCTGGTTCATGCCCTCTCTTCATGGCTGGGATCTGGGCTCTGAAGGCTGGGATCTTGGTTCCTTCGGCCATGATCTCCGTTTTTGCCCCTTTTCTACACGTGTGCCTTGTTTTGTACCTAATTCACACATATCCTAATACACTCTAAAATCACATCGAATTCAAATAGGAACGAAATTGGGATATAATTTTGATGTTTTAGCATTTTAGCACATGAATTGGCATAAAGCATACCTCGTTATGGAGAGTAAAGAACACCAATTTTGGTGTTATCAAACTCCCCCACACTTAGGCATTTGCTTGTCCCCAAGCAAACCTACTCAAACCTAATGCAATATGATAGATAAATCAATGAGGTATGCATGCTAGTTTTTCATTGAACGGATGAGAGTATACGTGGATGAATGAATGCTACTACCTTCCTACTGTGTGAACATAAAGTCTCGTGTGAGGACCATATCTACTACCTTAGGTCGATCATCAAAAATGTGCTTTAGGGGATTCTCAGATAACAAACAACTACTAGAACTATTGGAGGTGCTATTATTCTTGTCTTTTGATGTAGGATTTGTCATTTTTCGGTCTCCTTTTTCTTCGTTCATGCACATTGCACCGAATTTTTGCAATTTTTTTCATTGCATAATAGCATCTCTCCCTCATGACCAAGAGCGAATGAATCATAGCCTTCCCTTTCAAGGTCACATGTGGGGAAGTTGATGGACGGATTCGTCATAGCCCTAGCACCACGTCCCAGCCTGAACTCCATATTGGGTTGCCACACATGTTGGGTACAAACGAGAGCTATGAGGTCGCGTGAATCGTTAAAAGATACCTTTGGTCCTTAGCATACGATTTCGTGAGGAGGGGAGGTGTTTGGGGGATGGTAAATAGTAAAGGTGGTCGTGACGCGGTAAAGCTATCTAATCCCCAAACACATCCTTGAAGGGAACTACGAACCAAAAGAACAATCCTTTGACGGTTGATCTTAATTCTTTTCCTGGTTGCCCCTCACGTGAGAACCTCTTTTCCTATTCTTAACAACAAATTATAAAAGTTCCTAGTTCACATAAAGAAGAGAATTTCGCACACAATTCCTTCCTAAGGTAGCAAACATTACCGACACACAAAAGAGGAAGAAAGTAGTAGAATCCCTCACGTACCGATACTCAAACTATGCAACTATCACCTAAGATGCACCACACATCAATCAATCTAATCAAGTCAAAGCCCATTGAGTAGGTAATTGCAAGGACAAGGTGTTTTGGAACCCTCAAATTTGAAAAAATTTGTGTTACATTCAAGGTTCCAAAAACACTAAAATTTCACCATTCATCACCACAACATAAAAACGATCACTAGCACACATTCCCATAAGCGTTTATCAACATCTTACATTCACAAACCATGAAGGATACTAGCAATCAATAGTTCAACCAAATCATGATAGACATTCAAACAAACACAAATATCCCCCCACACTTGAGCAACACATTGTCCTTAATGTGGGAGTTTCCAAAGAAAAGATAGTGAATGTTACTATAGGTCGGGTTGTAGGTTGGTGAAGGTTCACAAGTGTAGTCTTTGTCTTCCTGGTGGTTTTCACAATGATAAAGCGCATAAGATAGAGAGAAAGACGAATAGGAGTTATAAGTACGATATATATATATATATATATGGTGGCTTCCCGCGCTAGCATAAGATAGAGATAAACTCGATGTATTTCGGTTAATTCTTGCTCTAAATAGTAAAACTCGATGGGCGTACAATGTACGACTGACGTATGCTAGCCTGAACCATATATATATATATATATATATATATATATATGTATATGTATATATAATAAGTACTACTAGTGCTAGAGTAATTAAATTACGAAAAGTAAAAAGAAAATAAAGGGAAAATTAAACATTGTTTTCATTGAAATAAAGTAAAGAAAAGAAAAATAAAAGATAGAAGTCGGCCCCTAGACGCCAAGTTGTCTTTGATGCACGGTTGGAGCATATGGTAGTTGTACATTGGAGGCTCTTTCTTGCGGAGATGGTCCATCATAGCTCGTAGTCGCCTCCATTAGTTGGTTTGTTTTTCTTGTTGTGGTTGCTCCTCAATTTGAGGCTATGGTTCTTCTCTTGGAATTTGTGGCTCTTCTCGTCATGGGTGGTTCCGGTTTCTTCATTGTTGAGAGCTAAGAGAACTAGCACCCTCACTCTCAGTTGGACCATTATTAGAAGAGAAAAATCACGACACATGTTCAAACAAACCATTAGGCAACCCACTTGATCAATTAAACAACAAAATCCGTTCGTAGGAATGTAGGATCACTCTATACACCTCCACACTTGAGTGTTACAATGTAGAAACTATGGGTGTAGAGGTAAAAATGCATGACGTAATGACTAGGGTCGAGGTCTAGATGCATGAATACAAGGGCTCCATGTCTTTCAATAGGTTTCTAAACCCCGGGTGAAGGCTAGGATCAACTTATTAGACAACAACCAAAGTTTGGACTCTTGGCTCTAAAATCATACCGAAGCACAAAATCAAAAGTGGGCCAAAATTTCAAACTCAATGATCATGCATCGAAGATTTAATCCTAAGTCATAAACACACTCCTAAGGGTCTATCTTAATCAAACAAGTTCAATTGAAAAGCAATGAATCAAGGAAAAAATTATGTGGTTTGGGCATTTCATCGAGCACTTGGTGGGCGGCGTTCAAACTACACAAATTCATACAGATAGACCCCACCAAGGCCTCCAAACACACATACACAATCATAAACATGCATTTTATGATCCCATTGTACTAACCATGCCATACTCTAGCCATAAGTAGCTTAATTGGTAGGCTAAGCTAGCACACATGCTCAACACAAAACAATTGTATCCTTTCCTTAAGCAACTAGTTAGTCACCAACAATCATTCATATAATACTTGACTTAGAAGGGATTAATTCACCAGCTAAAACTATAAAAACTACTTAAAGCAAAATTAAAAATGCAAGTTTTATTTTTGAAAAGTAAGGAAATGCAAAACGGTTGTTGGGGTACCTCCCAACTAGTGTGTCTTTCAAGTCTTATCGCCAGACGCGTCTTCAAGTATTCGGTCCAACTTAGAACCTCCTTGAAGTTGAGGTTCTCGTCAGTGAGGTGGTGTCTCAAGTCACGAGCATTGGACGAGTCCATTATTGAGAGCTTGGGAACTTGAATCGTCATGAGGCTCCACCCACGAGACCTCTCCTTCTTTTCTTCATCCTTTTTCCTCTTTGCCATGCGCCATGTAGTGCACACTCAATTGACTTTCATCGCATCAACCAAGAAGGATCGTCGATGGGTTGGCCTAAATGCACAAACTTAGGGGTGCTAAGCACAATTATGCACAAACCCTAGGATGTTAAGCACAAAATATGCACAACCCTAGGATGCTAAGCACAAAATATGCACAATCCCTAAGTTGCTAAGCACAAGCATGCAAAATCATGGTAAAATACCTCAAACATTAAATTGAACAATGCCCAATATCAAATATTGAATTAAACCACATCCCTAGGGTTTAGGGTTTCACTACACCCAAGTGAGAGGAGGAATACTCCATGGAAGAAGTGGGAAGAACAAAGGAGAAAAATTGTGGAAACCATCTTTTGGGGATGGAGGCAAAAGATGATCGCACCTATGAACTTGAGGCTGCAATCTTAAGGGGAAGTTTGCGGGATGGAGGCAAAAGATTGCGGCCGGCATCTTTGGGAGAGAGGCTGCGATCTTTGAAAGTCACCATTTTTGCCTTGCAAAATGTGGAGATCGCGGCCTAACATCCCAATCGCGATCCAGGGTGCCACAGTCGCGACCTTTATCATGGGCACAAAAGACGGTGACTGTGATTTGTGTGGGGAAACTTTATGCTTCTCCCGGTCCGACCTCTTCTGCATTTAACACCCTTGGCTCCAAAGTTCGTGGCTACAAACTTCAGGTTGT